ACACACACACACATCATTTTTTTAACTTCTCTCTTGATCTAGCACCTTGAGGTCAGAAGTTTAATCCTGATCTCATCCTCTACAAGAATAAACTTCAAGGCAGTTACATCTCAACTAAAAGTTGAAGTACAACGGCACTTCTCATAGATTGGACTCAAAACTGATCAACTGAAACCACAAACTTGGAGACTGAGCCTGAGAGACATGGTGCTCTGAACGACCTTCACCAAGGGAGTTGTGGTTTCACCCTCATCTGTTTATTCCTTTGTTAGTTAGTTTGCAGGATTACGCAAATACTACTGGACCAGAATGTTTACTGGTTCGTCTGCATCTTCAATTAATTTTCAGTTTATCATCCCACTCTCTCTCTCTCTTTCTTACCCTCTGCACCTCAGAGACAGGTTTAGTGCTGCTCTACTCTGTTTGTCTTCTCTGAACATTTGTTATCAAATCTGGGCCACACACACACACACACACACACACACACACAGTTACCCCTCAGGGCACTGGTTTTTGGTAGCACACACACACACACACACACACACACACAACCTCACATCTGGAATCAGTCTGAGCAGAACTCTGTTTATCCCTGTAAATGGACTCAGACCTCACTGACCGGCTCCGCTCGCTGTGAATAAGTTTGAGTTCCTCTTCATCAGGCCGCTTCAAAGCTGACGGCTGACATATACAAGAAGTGAAGGTCAGTGCAGTTTGCAAAGAGGTAAGTGTGTGTTTCTAATGAGAGGGCCACAACACGACAGCCAATGCTTTTCAAAGGTCAGCTGGGAGTTTTACAAGAGGCTTTGATTTTACGTGTGTGCATGTGCATGTGTGTGTGTGTTAACATGGAGACGGTGACAAGAAGAGAATTAGACAAAACATTTGTTCCATTTTGGTTTTAAAATTTAGAGCCAATATTTATCAAAGCGCCAAGAATCACACTCATGATTCTTCTGCAGCTCAAATTTGAAGAAGATAAATCTATCAAGTGATTCCCAGTGAAACTATAGTTCAATATGAGGAGTATTTAAAAGTTCTCACAGAGGAATAACAAACAAGAATTTGCACTTCGTCAATGATGATATTCTGCAAAGGCATATGATTTTATTTTCTAGAGTTTTAATTTGTCAAATCTAAAATCTCCAGTAGTGGAAGAATGAAACAAGTGCATGAAAAGAAAGCAAGAATCCAAAAAGAAATGATTAACAGGTATATTTATCGCCACAGTGACAAGTCACAGGTAAAGAGTTTTGAGAAAAGGGAAATCGATGGCAGCAATTGTCATATTGTTTTGACCCCTGAGGACAGCAGTTCCTCTGTTTCTAAATGTCTCAAAAGACATTTTATTAGTGTCTTTATTAAGTTTGTGTAATGACCATGTCTGTAAACTGAGGACCCAAACGTTAGAACAAAGTCCACAATTCATAAAAACAGTAGAAGACTTATTCCAGGCAGGGTTCAGTTCACAAAAGGAAGGAGACAAAGCAAAGGTCTCCACAAACGTGAAGCAAAACATGGTCAAAGAAACATGAGACAGGACTTGATCAAAACGCTGGTAAGCTCAGGACAAGACAAACTGGCACAGGACAGTTGGAGACGCAGTCCATATATACTGAAGTTAACTAGACACAGCTGAAACAAATTAGAGAGGGGAAGGTAATTAGTGAGACACAGGGGGTGGGAGGGGGGGGGTAAAACAGGAAGTGACATAAAACATGAAACAGGAAGTGCTGTGAGTGTGTGTGTGTTTGTATGACAGTTTGTGAGTGGGAGTTAATTGAAGGATTTTTACTTGAGTCCAAATTTTCACTTAGCGAATTGTAATGAGCCGAGCTCGGGGGAGTAACGTAAGCAAGAGGAAAGGACATTTCAAACAGACGTCTCGCTCCAAGAACACTTTATTCTAACAAGCCACAGGATAACACAAGTTTTTCAATTCATTAGCAATTTGTACAAGTTCAATATAAATGTACCATCACTGCCGTGACAATGATGTCAATGTTCAATATTCAACAATAAATTAGCAAGTTGAGATTCACTCCACGCGAATTATATCATTTAATTGAATCTGTGTAGTAATGTTGTAGTTTCATTCATTATTTCACACTGTGAGTTTCCCTGAGATGAAAACCAACCTGTTGAGAGTATTGACGTCCTTAGAAAAAATTTACAAATACAGTTTTAAAAATATTTGAGGCTCCGCCAGCTCCCGAGGATTCAACTCTACATCGTGTTTTTAGCATGAAAATCAGAGCAACTTTGAGTTTAGCCCCTAGTCCCGAACCCGAAACCCAATTCTCACCCTAAGACCAAGTCTTAAAACCTCACACAAGCCTTTAAAGAAGAAGAGACCACCGGACAAAATGTCCTCACTCTGTAGGGGCCATGCTTCAAAATGTTCCATAAGTACAGTTGACATGTGAGAGCCAGTTACTTCATCTTCACTGGTTCTGCTTGTGATGCGTGTTCAGGCCACTGAGGTTCTCAGTATGGTTTTTTCTGCTCATACACACACACACACACACACACACACACACACACACACACACACACACACACACACAGGGAGACATAGAGTGATTACAAACGTATTTTTCATCGATGGTGATGGTTATGTTTGTTTTTTCATGGTCTTACCTGTACTGATTTTCTTGATGCTGTGGAGACAGAAGATGATAATTAGTCTTTAGAAATGAACACTTCTCTTAGTGATGCTTCAACAGTAGTTCTCATCTGTTGTCATGTGACTGTCCCTCTAACACAGAGGACTTTGATTCTCTGATTTGTATCTTTGACTGTTTATTTAGCTGCAGCGTACATGAGGCGATGCCACTGAATAACGAAGCACCACTGTGTTTTATCAGCCTGTTAATGTGAGGACCTCCACACCCACCTGAGTGCAGGTAACGCAGACTCTTTTGCAGGATGATGAGCAGTACGACCACAGTGACACCGACAGTGAGATAAAACCACTGGCTGCTTGGCTCTGAGACAGAAAACACACAACAGAAAGACTTCAGGCCTCAACGGAGTCCCTCTGCTGCCACTGTGTGACAATCCATGGTACTACAGCTCCACCGCTGCTGGTCGTGTTCTCTCCTCTCACCTTCAACAGACACGATGAAGTGCTTTTTTATGGGCATCCGCAAGGACTGGTGGGAGACGCTGCATGTAAACTGTTTCCCAGAGTTCCTCTGTGAACCCTGGAGGTAGAAGAACGCCGACACGGAGAAGGTCTTGTCTTTGTTGTTTTTGTGGCTTGACAGCAAAACGTTCTCGAGCACCCTGGGCAGAGGAGCGCCAACCCTCTGGCCTGACGCTCCCGGGTCCTGCACGTACCAAACTATCTCCACATCCAGGGGGTAGTAATTATCTGCATCACAGAAAACCCTCCGCTCCTCGCCCTCCTGCAGGTGGAGGATGGGTCCGGCACTGATAGCGACACGGGGCGGCTCTGATGAGACAATCAAGTATAAGTTAATTTTCAGCCAGAGGTCTCATGACTTTAACTCGTTATGAGTCTGCCAAAGAGCCGATGATGTGTACAACTTTAATTATCCTCTTTTTAGTTTCAAACACCAACCATGCTAGTTTCAGCTTCTTAAATATTAGAAAAGCATGTTTTTTGGTTCATTTTTGTTTTTGAATGCTGAATAAAAATGTTGAGTTACGACGGGCATGCTACACTGTCTTCTGACGGAAACAGACTTAAAGATGAATCAGACGATCTGAATTCACATACATTCAGTGGTAATAAAAAGAAGGCTGCCCTAAAGAGGAAGCTGTTAGGGGGAACAAGTTGCATTCACAAATCTGAGCTTCTGATACGTCAAAGGAGAAAATGAAAGGAAAATTTGCTTCTGACACCAGAGTGGGCGGTAACTGTTTCGCTCTATTACCTGCACTGTCGACTCAATGTTTGAAGCATTCAGAACCTTGATTTCTAAGATTCGCATTAGCTGGATTATAAAAAATCTCATTTGTATATTAATGACAGTTTATTTTTGTAACACAGTCAGGCCTGGCACCTTCTAATAAGCTCAAACTTAAAACTATACATTCAAAAACCTTTTTATATGTCAACCACAGTTATAATTTCACACAACGTGCCCTGATCCACAAGCTCTCTGTGGCTGTCTTACCTTCGACATTCAGATTCACATCCAGACTGGTGAACAGTGGATTCACTGACACTGAACAAATGTACCTCCCTTCACTGCTCATCTTGGTGAAGGGGAGGTTATAGGAAGCATCCCCCCTAGCGAGGTTCTTCAACTCAACCCCAGTCCCCTGGTTACGCGCCGAGTGGCTGGAATGGCTGAAGAGTAGGTTTCTTTCTCCGCGATGTTGCCTGTGCCACTGCACAGTGACGTTCGACCCCCTGTGGTCCAGAGCAAACTGGCAGTGAAGCTTTTGTTGGGAGCTCAGTGCAGCTTTGACTGATGGCGTCTGTGTTTTCATGACCAGGGCAACTACGCAAACAAGACAGAGGCAAATGAGAAAGAGACTCGTCAAACTAGTCAGAGCCAAACTGTGATATGTAAATTATTAAAGTGAGTGTTACCTGTTGTTGTGAGTATCTCCCTGTCCTCAATGACAGGCCAGTGGCGGTAGTCCTGCATTCCAGGGGGAGGTTGGTCAGATGGGTGCCTGAGGAAGCTAGTGACGGTCAACAGGCCCTTGCTGTGTTTGAGGGTGCAGCTGAACCAGCGGTTGTACTCCTGGGTTTCCTGGCTAGGCCAGTGGACCTGGATGCCCTCTGTACTGTACCTACGCAGCTCACACTCCAGATCCTGTGCCTCCACCCCCTCCACATAACGCCGCAGGTCCAAATTCAATCCTACAACAGAACAGAATACAGCAGAATAGAAGGGAACAGAACATCACTCAGTGCTGTGGATGTTGTGTAAAAGGCTACAGCTCTTACCTGTGACCAGGAAAGTGACGGCATTGGGGTTGACTGGATCATCTCCTGTTTGACCAAACTGCAGCATGGCCTGTCTGTGTATGAGCTGAGTCTCAGGGTGACCATCTTTATTCAAAAACACGTTCTCATCAGTGAACTGACAGGGCAGCCACGTCATCTGTTGCGCACACAGAACTCCTGAGAGACACAAAATGAAGCAGCGCAGTCAGCTTACAATTTCTTTACATTAATACAGTACAAGTACAGTGAGGTATACTGCAGCACAGTAGTAAAGTGTAGTGCAGTACAGAAAGTACAGTGTAGTATATTCAGTCT